CCTCAGGTGGCGAAAAGGCTAGGGACGGCCCTGAGTTCAGGTACACTATATTATAATACACTATAATACTAAGTATTATTTTTTGGTTGGTGGTTATGTACAAATAATGCTTAATGGATAATTTATTTTTTTTAAACAGGAAAGCTATTTTGCAAGTTTACGTAGAACTCCCCCATTTTCGATAAAATGTGTTAATACATGGACTTTACAATGCTTGCATTTTACTCTAACATCCTACTACTGTCCTGGATATGTGTAGTGAGTACCTGTTATGTCTTGACTATGCAGTGCATGACATGTTATGTTACCAGTGGCCTGTCTCTTCTTCTGAATATTATATAAATGAAGATTTTATTTCATATTCCCTATTAGGATTCTGTTAAACACTATGTGCAGTGACCTGTGCTTTTGTGTACAAATGTTTTTTCAATGTTTACATTTTTGTTTCCTATTTACACAGAATCTGTGTCTCTAAAGAAACAGAATGGCAGTAGCTGATTTCTTTCTGTCTCCCTCTCATTTAAACTCTGTACATAGTCATACACACCTGAGTAAGGGAGAGGGTAAGTCACCCTATGGATATTTGTTACCAAAGCAGTTAAGTCTTGCTCGGTAAACACCCCAAAGACTGAGGATAGAAGTGCAATCGCTAGCTATAAATAGTATGTAAGTAAAATATGTTTTATTTTATTATTTTATTTCTGAATATAGTCAACAAATAAATAAAATATATACACAAGCTCGATTTTTGAATATAACATATAAATACGACAACTTAAAGAAGAACTTCAATCAGCTTTTTCTTAACCCTTGCAGTGGGGCTACCCCTGCACTGAGAAGGTTAAGTGCTTGTTTTTGTCTAAAACAGCAAAGTTATACTCACCTGAACCTTGGAGCTGGCTTGCTCTTAGACTAGTCCCTGGAGCGTCTCTCCCTCTCTGCTGCAGCGGTTTAAGGTCCCTGAGTCATCAAGTCCTATACACTATGTATGGGAACATACCAACGCTGCAGCGGAGGAAGAGACAGGGAGGAGGGAGCACTGTAACAGCTGGCCAGCTCGGTTGAGTATAAGTTTGTTATTTTTGCACCGTAGACAAGAACAAGCACTTAACCCTTTCATTGCTGGGATAGCTCCACTGAAAGGGTTAAGAAAAAGTTTGGCAGGAATTCTCCTTTAATAAATTCCCTTCAAATAATTTTTTTTAACTACAATTGCTGTGTAATGTAATTTTTTACATGGCCACACTGTACTGTGAATACTCGCCTCCAGGACTTCTCTAGAGTCTCTCCCATCCTCTGGAACTCTTTACCCCAACCTGTCCGTCTATCTCCCACCTTGACTGCCTTTAGGCGTTCCCTAAAGACTCATCTCTTTAGGGAAGCCTATCTCACCTCAACCAAACCACTCAACCATCACATTCTCAAACAATTCATCCCCACACATCTACCTCCTCATGTATCATTTCCCCCTCCTCTTTCAGATTGTAAGCCCTCAGGGGCAGGGCCCTCCTTACCATCTTGTCTTGAATTGTAATGTCTTCCTTATATTGTAAAGCGATGCGCAAACTGTTGGCGCTATATAAATACTATGTAATAATAATAATTTGAAGGGTGACATTATTGACCTTTTCTTCTACAAAAAAAATTGGTAACTGACTTTCATGTTGATCCGCCGGGAGACACTGGCACTCTGCTTAAAGTGTCTCATTATACACTCCTAAAGAAGTGGTCATCTTTGAGCCACGAAACGCGTTGTGACTATCTAAATTGAAGACATATGGTCATTTCATCTCTTGGACCTGGGCGCCCCTGCTGTCTTGCACCTACGTTTTTTGGGGGCATTCTTGTCTCATCTCTCTATGTTGATCAGGTGATTTATAGTTTAATATTTTTAGTCACTGACCCAGGGGAGGGCGTCAGGTATGCATGCTGCCTACTTTCCGGCCAGAGCATCCCAGGTTGCTCAGAGCTCTTAGCAACCTGTGACGCTCTGGCCGGCATCCTGCCCAGCTCCTGGCAACCACTGACATCAGTGAGCAGGGCGGGACGCCGTTCGGATGTAACCTGGCCTGTATAAGTGGTTGATATACCAAAGGCAAACAGGCTGTGCACTCTGCAAGGGAGCTTCACCTTAGGTTAGTGAATGAGGTGAAGCTCTGCTGATCCAATGATGTGCAAGAAAACATTTTTTAAAAAATATTTTCCTTGTATATGATTGGGCATTCTTTGCAACGTGAATTTTTACCTCATTCACAAAACTAAGGAAAAAGTGAACAGCCTATATGATTCAAGAAATCCAGCCAGAATTCCAGAAAGTAAAAGATGAGTTAGCACTCTGCCCTTAGTAAACATGACCACTGTCATAAGAATGGGGAAGAAAAGAGAAATAAGGAATGCAAAGAATACAAGGCCTGAAATTATCTAGAATTATGTGTTTGTAGATTTTCATCACTAAACATTTCTAAAGGTGTGTTTGTTGTTATTTTAAAGATATGGGTAAAGGTCCGCTTTAACAGCCAGCCAGCTACATTTTTTAAAGGATTAGATACGTAAGCCTCCATTTAAAAAAAAAAAAACATTCCTCAAACTACCTCTCTATGGAAATAAACTCTATATGCTTCCTACTGAAGTTTCTATACCCGAAATGCCACATAAGCAACATAATATTTTGACATTTTTCCCCCCGCATAAAACACAAGCATTGAGAAATCCTGAATTTGATCTACTTCAAGTCCATCCAAAGAAGCATTCCCAGCTTTCTACTGGGTGCCAAATGTTGTAATGAAAGGGTATGATCTTATTTCCGTTAATCTTCATATCACAGGAAAAAAAATTCCTGGAAAAAAGACTTTCCAAGTTCCAGATTTCAACTTCCTCATAATACGGTGCAAGCGGGAGTTATAATTGTAGCCCCGTCTATTTCCCAGCTCCACTACACCTTCTAGGAGACACGTTTTGTCATCCAGGCAGCTCCTATTAGATGTGAAGTTTGCCATTGTTAGGTATGCCATTGCCAGGTATGCAATTGCTAGGTATGAAGTATCATATTATAAGACATTTTGGAAAAGCTCCTTTTTAATGCATATAGAATCAAACTTCACCCTGTGTCCCAAAGTTTAGGACAGGGGTAGGCAATCTCCAGCCCTCCAGTTGTGGTGAAATTACAAATCTCACCATGCATCTGCCTCTGGGAGTCATGCCTGTGGCTGTCAGAGTCTTACAATGCCTAATGGTATTTGTAGTTGCACCACTTCTGGAGGGCTGGAGCTTGCCTACCTCTGGCCTAGGCCAACATTGCATGACCTCTGGCTACGAGGATCATCGTGGGTGTTTCACATCAATAAAGACTGCATATACTGTATTGTTGGCTAGCACTTAGAGGTAGAGGTACTATCCCTGTACTGCATTACTAATCCATAGGCAGAGTCTGATTGGTGATTAATAAGTATGGCTGCTTTTATTCTTCAATATGTACAATGTACTGTACAGTATATCCCTTTCATCAGCTTCTAGAATTAATTGCAGCATGGTTGAATTTTAAACAGTAACCCAATTTAAACATTCATTTTATTACCGCTGGGAAAGTCTGTTATGACATGAGTTGTTATTTTCAGTGACTGAAGCCACATGTCTGGATCTGCATGGAATCCTTGCACTTGCCCACGGGGTGGAGAAATTGATGAGCTTTTGTTTTGCTAGACCCTGCTGATTTGCTATTATATTACAAAATGAAATGCGGATTAAAGACGTTTTGTTAAGTTGTCTTAAATTATAAATCTAAAGCAACTGTCTAAAGTCAGTTTTCCGTCTCTCTTTCTCGCCAGACAGATTTCTGGCATCTCATCATTATCCAGTCATACCTATTAGGTGCACAATCAAACAAAGGTGAAATGGCCACGCTCAGTCTTGCATGGATGTATTTATATTCAATAGACATTCTGACACACTGTACCTGACAAATCTTGCGTGTATAAAAAGCAATACCTTACAGCAAACAATCAGCAATTACGAACCGTTTCAGAATGGCACATACAATTTGTTTGCTATAGGTCGCTTCAGTTGATTTTTTTACAATGCCTTCTTAAACAGTCTAAACCAGGGGTTCTCAACCTGTGTAACCTGAGGACCTGCATTTGTCCTTGGTCACGACCCAAGTCGCACTGCAATTGAACGCATGACATTAGGGTACCGCGCATTCCGGTGCTGGTGTACGAACTGTGGGTGGTGGGTGCGTTTGGGGTACCATTCAAATGAATGGCATCGCAATACACCTCCCGCACCAGAATGCACAGTAGGTGCTATTGCGTGGTACAGTGCGTTAATCGCACGGTACTGTGATTAATGCACTGTACTAGTTTGAACAGGCCCTCAAAAACAATGACAGACACACACAGACACAATTTCACACACTCACAGACATTCTCACATACACACTCCAAAAAATGTTTAATTTTTTTTCAGTCTCCCTACCTTACGAAAACTGGAGAGAAATCCTAAGCCTGTAGAGGTTCCGGGAGCCAGAATTATTATTATACAGGATTTCTATAGCACCAACAGTTTGTGCAGCGCTTTACAAAATAGGGAAGACATTACAATCACAATACAAATCAAGACAAAATGTGATGTCACTCTGGTCCAGGCACCTCTACAAGACATGTGAGGGAGCTGCCTGTAAGCAATGCACATATGAATGGAGCTCCCTCATGGCCATAGCCCCATCCCACCTCAAGCTGACACTTGGCGCCGGGCAGCATATTTTGAATGCCTGCATGAGGTGAGAACTGACAGTGCTGCACTAGAGGGAGGCCGAGGAGCCTCTCACCTAGAAAAGGGGAAGGCATGTGGCGACCCACTGAATATGGGGTCGCAACTCACTTTTGGGTCACGATCCACCATTGAGAACCAAGGGTCTAAACTATACGTACACAGTACCTGGGAATATGATGAGGTTGATTTATGGCAAGGCAAATAGGCTGTTAACTTTCAAGGGAATTTACACTTTGCAGGGGAAGTTTCCCTATAGTTTAGTGAAGGATTTCCATCATCCAATTATGTGCAAGCAAAAATACTGTTTATTTATTTATACAAGTACAATTATTTTCTTATTTCATTGTCTTTGCACATTGATTGGGTTTTCTTTGAAAAGTGAAATTTCACCACATTCAGCAAGCTATGTAAAATTTCCCCTGCAAAGTACAAATTCCAGCCTATTTGCCTTTACTATATCAACCCCAATGTCTGCTACCATATTAAGCAGAATTTGGGAGATTATTTTTTATTGGCCATGCATTTTCTTAAAGTGACACTAAAGGAGTTAAATCTTAAAAATGCATTTAAGTACCTTAACTATTAATAAAAAAGTATCTTATTTGTGTATCACTCGGCTGTGGATCCTCAAATCATCTCTGAATTGGTGCTGACACTGTCCTTCCTTCTGGAGGATGTTTTCTTTTGTACCCCATGGTCCCTGTGTGTGTTGTAAAGTAGTCACCGCTCCAAGCTCACTCCTGTGATGGACTACAATCTCATGTTTAGTTTACTAATTTGTATTAAGCTTGTAGCGATGACAACTTTACAAGACACACAGGGACCATGGGGAACAAATGTAGCCACCCTCCAGAAGGAAGGACAGTGTCAGCACCAATTCAGAGATGATTTGAGGATCTACAGCCGAGTGATACACAAATAAGGTTTATTTTTGTTAATACAGTAAACTCCCCATTATCTGTCATTCCAGCAACCAGCACTCTCAAGCAACCAGCAAAAAAAAAAAAAATCAAAGACATTTTTTTTGACAGTGACTTGATGTGCATTAAAACGCTGTCGGTTGCTTGGCGACACACTAAAACTTTTGTTAGCAACTAAATTGATTTAGTTGCTAACTAAATTCTTTGTTTACATTTCGCTGCCGGCCAGTAGCTAGATTCCGTGGTCGACAGCAGAATGTAAACGATGGGAAGAAATAGCCAGGCTGCTATTGGCTATTTCAAATTGCAATAGCAAGCTGGCTATTGTGTATGCCTACTGAGCAGAGGAGCGGATCTGAGAGAGAATTTGCAATAGCCAATAGCAGGCTGGCTTTTGCTCCTGGCTGCTTCCATTCATTCACCTGTCGGCTGCAGAAGCTAGCCGGCAGGTAAATGGGGCTATGGGGGGAAGCGGGGTACCGTGGGGATGGCTGGTTGAGAGTTACTAATAACTCTCAAGCAACCAGAATCTACAGTTATCCGGCACCTACCAATCCCCATGGGTTTCCTGTAATTAGGGTACTTGAATGCATTTTTAAGATTTAACTGCTGAATTTAGGGTCACTTTAATTCAGAGAATATAGGATACATTTCCCTGTTAGCCCCCCAGGTAATTTAACTAAGAACAGTAGGTAAATGGACATAAGTTTCCAGCCCAGTGGACCCATTCCAACAGCAAAGCCGTACCTTTATAGTCCTCTTATATGTAATAAATAATTTGAGTTACACTATGATTTATTAATGTATGTGGTCAGACCTGAAGTTAACCAATCATAAGATAAATATGGGGCTGCCAATGCTGACCTCCTACATAAAATGCCAATTGCTGGGCTGTTATTGTGATCTAATGGCTTTAATACTTTCTCACTAAGCTGGGTTAAATATACAGGTCGGGAAGGTCATAAAAAAATTAGGACCCCCTCCTTTTTTATGTAGCAAGACAGGCAAGTAACTAGGATGAGAGATAGAGACAGAATGTTGTTACTCAATAACTGAACAAGGACAAGGACCTCTATGGCAGAGATCACTAGGTATCATTTAAACCCCAACTTCAGGTAACTGAGACTGAATAAGCAGTGTGACCCAGTCAAGAGATCCCGTGCCAGGGTCATGAATAAAACAGAAGGCCTTCCTTCAAAAGTCATCACTGACACACAAATGCAACTTTAATTATACTTATTTCCTGTGGTTGCAAAACTCTTTCAGTGTTGTTACTTAACCTAAAGGTAGATTAATACTGACATTTCTGCTGCAGTTGTGATATGTATATGATCTGTTAGCATGCAGTCCTGAATCTCTCATCAAGCTTAAATCCTTAATCTCTTTCTCATCTGGAAATGTTCCATCTTGTTTAATTCATGTATAGACGTTCCAATTCTATAGAATGCCTCTATTGACCTTTCCTTTTCTCCCCCTTTATCTCTAACTTCCTTTTTTCTTCTTGAATATCCATGTAATTTTTTAAGGCTTTCAGTTTCAACTCTTTCCATTTCTAAAGACATAACTGAAGACCATGTCAGTAGGTTGCAATATATTATTTTGTGTTCTAGAAATGGCACTTCAGATAACATTGCATGTGATTATCTTATATGATTTGTATAAGAGGAAAAAGAGTTTAATGCTATATGAAAGAAATTGATCATTTGTGATTTTAATGCATGATTCACTAAGTGAAACCATGAATAAATGTTGGGTGTTAAAGGAGAACTATGAGGTGAGTGCTTTTCACTCACCTCATAGTTCTAGCCCACCTGTGACAATGAAACTGTCACAGGTCGGCTCAGTAGATCGGGAGGTGAGCGAACACATACCGGCGTTTGCTCACCTCTCGATCCTGTCACGGCTCTCTGCCGTGACGGGCTATATTCCCCCCGCTCCGATCCGCCAGCGCTGACTGGCGGAAGGGACGGGAGAGGGGGCGGGTACAGCTGGCTCTGCCTCTAGATAGGCAGAGCCAGCTGTCAGTCATGCAGCTGGGCGGATCCAGACATAATGTATTAGGATAACATTGTACTCTCCCCCTTGCCTCGCGCCATACCTGTCCATTGAGCAACACTGCAAAGCATAATAGTACATTATAAAAGTGAATCATCCCAATGTACCCATTATTTTAAACTCATGCAAGCTTTTGTCAAAAATTTCGGTCTTCTGTCATGGTTTCATGGTATTTGTCTCTTGTTATTGCTTAACCCTTCTCTAAATTACCACCATGACCTGTAGTAGTTTACGATTTAGTAGTGGACTCCAGCAGTTCTGTTAATGAATAGCCATCTTTGACCATTTCTTATCCATAGAAGATTGCCATGATGTGGTAATCAGCAACCTTTCCATGAATGCACAAAATATAATAAGACACTAAGAGCCGGTTCTCTCTTTTATATAGGTAAGCTCGCAGTGTGCTCTTTTACCTTTCAACCGTATAAGCTAACATCAGCTATTGACTAAGATTGGATAGATATGTACTAGAAGTAGGTCAAGAATAAGTGCAGATGATAACAGCGCATAAACATTACCCTTTAACAACTCCTATTCCCATAATGATGAGGGAAAAACAAGTGGCCTGCACCCCATGCATGCATAAATTATGAATAGAATCTTATTTCAAGAGGAATTTTTACCCCAGGGATAGAGCCCAGGCATGTGGTAAGACAAGTATTCACAGTAATTTATAACAATGTACTGTTTCAAGATAACATATAAGGACATGGATGTAAATTATGCAATTGAATAGTATAATGATTTGACCATTTTGTCAGGTCGCCCTGTTCTTATGTGAGAGCAAGGGAGGTTAAAGAAATCTTTCCAACTACTTTTAGTGTTAGCAAAGTCTGGATAGTACTTACTGAGCCTATGATATCATGAAGTGCTTCGAAGCCCCCATTCACAGGGAAGACGTGGTCTTTGCTGTCAGCTATCCGTGCCAGCTGGGTCCCATGGGAGGAGAAAATAAGAGAGAATGTTATAACAGACAAAGAATCCCATTGTAGCAACAATATATTCTGTATCTTATATTCTGGATTGTCACGTTTTCTCTAGTCTGTGAATCCAATGCAGCCTGAAAATATTTGAATAAAATTAATAGTCACATAGACATATGTGATCTTAAATGGATTTCCTGTTTTTTAGGCCTAAGGGGTCACCAGCTTTAATTCATATTCATTCGACATAACAATGATATACAGCAATATGTTCGTAGACAAAGTTATAATTTAATCAAATAGCATAATTCCTATAATAATATTACAAAGATCAAAGGGAATAAACGTCTGTTTGCTTCTGACTCTTTTAATTCATTTAATACCTGTGTGCCATTGAAGTCTTTCACTCCTACACAATAAACTTGAGCTCCCAAGTCACGAGACCTGTTGGCCTAAAATAGATACAGAAAAGACACTATTCCAATAAAATTACTGTATATACAGAGTAATGGCATGAAAACAAGATCTAAAACTGTCAAACTTAACTGCATTTATTTATTGTATTAGATGCTTTATTGTATTAGAATTGCTAATTAGAACTAGAACTCCTGTGATACACTATAACTTCAATACAAATTGGTAAACTAAACATGAGATTGTAGTCCATCACTGGAGTGAGTCAGGAGCGGTGGCTACTTTACAAAACACACACGTTCCATGGAGAACAAAAGTAGCCCCCCTCCAGAAGGAAGGACAGTGTCAGCACCAACTCAGAAATGATTTGAGCATCTACAGCCGAGTAATACACAAATAAGATACATTTCTGTTAATAGTTAAGGTACATGAATGCATTTTTAAGATTTAACTCCTGAGTTTAGTGTCACTTTAATGCTCCTAAGAATTTGATGTTTTTTCACAAAACAGTATTGCTGCTGTTGACCACATTTTTATATGCCTCCAGTTTCATGATATTAATGCATTCTCTTATTGGCTATAATTCTCTTTGTTACAGGGCTACAATATTTTGGCATTAATAGCCTGCCTTTAGTTTTTCAGAGATTTACACCACTGGATGTGGATTTCTACCTCTCGCTCTGCATAATAAAACAGGTCTTCGTGCAGTTCCCCATCAGTCAGTGCAATAATGACACTTGCTGTCCTGAAACCTGAATGAAAAACAGACACATTGTTAATAATTATGTGTATCTAACAGCTTTAGAATAATTTACTTGCATTCAAATTATGTTAGCGTGTGAAAGCATCCATACACCGTGAGAGCATAATGGCCAATTAGCAACTCTCCTACTCCTAGAACACATGGGGACCAAAAGCAGACAATAACTCGACAACCTAAAGTGTGGATGCATTGTATGACATTTCCCATGTTTTCTACCTAATTCAATACATGTGTTTGGCCTAGTGTGACAAAGTAAGTCTTTGGTAATGTTTATGGTTAGCTCTAAGGGTTCATCTGCTATTATAACTAACATTATAACTTAATATAGTTTAACAAAATAAAGCAAATCTGTCACAGGTGAAGAGAAAACACAGTGTTGAAGAACATCAATGATACTCCCCCTCACCACCACCACCAGGAGTTGCAGTAAATTGGGCCATTTTGCAGCAAACAGTGGTGCACCTCACTTGTCAAAAGTCATGATGATGTTGTGAACCCACCATAAGAGATGGGATGAGTCTGTCCAGAGGGTTGGAAGAAGGGTAACTCATGCTTCGTATTGTATACAGATCCCTTTAAAAGTTAATTGAGAACAAATATGGAAGCTGCCATTCTTGACTTTCTGCAGATAATGAAATAGCCTGCTGTGTGACTGAATTAAGAGCTTCAGTATTCATAAGACATGTAACCACACAAACATTTTTTTTATTTCATTTCAGATTTTTATTTCTTTCATTTTTCAAACTTTGGATCCAAAATTCTATTCGGTTCATTATTTGGATTTCAGATCCATCAGAATTTTCATTTCGGAACAGATTCACATTACCTTGCAACCCCCAAAAGCTAAAAGAAATTTGAATTTGATTGGCCAGAGAACAGTCATATGTCCGATTTAGTTTAGTTTTGAACGAAATTCAGTTGGATCCGAATTTTCATTAAACGAACATTCAGATTCGTTTGCATTCAGACGCATTTGAATTAGAACATTTGGATTAATCTGAATGTCCAAATTTAATGAAATTTGTATGAATACCCATTCAGAATGAAACAAAATCTACAGGTCTAGTGTTCAGTATGCCACCGAATTGGAACAAGAATGCCAATCCGGAGTTCTATCATCACTCTGACTTTGCTTGCTACATCCTTGTCAGCAGGTCAAGAATTAACATTTCCGGGAGGCACTTGGCTGCCAATAAAAAGTCTTCTATGCTCCATCAACCAAAAGGACAGAGCACGAAAAAATATTCTTGCATAAACAGATGGAGCATAGCAAATGGCTTGCCTTGTATACCCTATTATAATGCAAAAAGTCCTATCTGATAACTGAAGCAACAGAGTGTATCAATATTCACCTGTGGCAACCCCAGTCTTACATACCTTTGTGGTTCTCATGATAGATTTGTTCACTGGCCTGAACAGATTAAATGGAAAAAAAAGAGACTTTAGAAAGCATAAATGGGATAGCTAAGCAAGTTTAATAAAGCAGTGCAAGTCAATCAGTATGTGCTAAGAACCGTAACACAAAGCAGATCAGGAAAAAGATGAAAATATGGTGGCCATGCGTATTTCTCTTCTGTCTTTACTGAATAACCAATGGCAATCATTAATAATTAACATTTCACAAATGTGCCCTCAGTAAAGTGAAATATGATTACTGATCTTTGTACATAATCTTTTTTCTTAGCACTTCACCAATAAGCTTAAAGGTCTGATAAAATGTATCTTGCAAATCTTTCTCTACTTGATCCAGACTGGTGGAACATACAATTAGATGGGATGGGATGCACATGGTTTAGTTTCTTTCTTTTATACTGTAGTAATAAACAAAAGAGACTCTATGGGAAGTCTTCATCACTCATGAATACACATGGCAATGTGCTCTCTGAAGGTGCCCATAGGCTCAAGAAGGGGGTTGGATATACAGGTATGGTCTGACCACCCTCTGCCAACTTTGTTAGCCCAGTGGTGACATAAACATGAACAATTGTCACCAGTATTAGAAAAGATGTCCTTGAGTTGGAAAAGTCCAGCGGAGGGCAACCAAACTAATTAGGGGTATGGAGAACCAGAGCTACGAGACAAGGCTACTAAATTTAAACATGTCCACATTGGAGGCGAGGAGATTAAGGGGGGATATGATTTCCATGTACAAAATGTTTAATGGTGGTAGCAACATTAGCGATAAACTGTTTAAAATTAACTCCGTTACAAAAACTAGAGGCCACCACCTAAAATTGGTGGAAAAAAAATTCCAGCACAAGGGGCGAAGGGGGTTCTTCACAGTAAGATCAGTTAGGGTCTAGAACTCACTGCCACAGACAGTGATTTCAGCATAGAATGTGGAATTGTTCAAAAAACTTTTGGACGATTTCTTAAGGGACCGTAATATACAGGGGTACAGGTACTCCCAGAATGAGATCCTAATAGGTTGGACTTGATGGACTAATGTCTTTATTCAACCTCAAATACTAGGTAACTATGTAATTGGTTTAGGACGTGTTTTTATATTTATGTCAGATGGGGAGCAAAACACTGGTGTGGGAAGACATATGTGGGAACCAATTAACTTTCTCCATTTTTTTTTTAACAGAAAATTACAACTAAAGAAGCCACAGCCCATAAAATAATATATTGTGTGAGAGGTGACTTCATCTAATCAAGATGCATTCACTGCCAGTAGATGGTAATAGTTAACCCTTGGTACTTACCCTCTCAATCCCCTCATGCATGTAGGTGTCTCCACCTGGGAGAACTTTCTGTAGCTCCGCCAAGCCCAGCTTGATTTGGTCTCTGTGTGTAAAATAAGTGAGAACAATCCACCAGGTTAACCATTTACTTAGCGCACCAATACACTCAAAAGCAGTGACTCTGCTGTGAATTACTAGTTATTTTGGGAAGTAGATGGTAATAGACTAGAAAAGGCTGTTGCTGACATAGGTGATGAATGGGAAGAAGGTTACAGTGAGTCTGTCGATAAAAAAAAAAAAACAATAAAAATGTTTCCCTGCAGACAAAATAGTCAATACTTTCCTCTCCTGCCACCCTGGCCACTGATCTCTAATGTAATAAACACATTGGATGCTGAGCCTGTAAAATGTATATTTCAAGGAATATTCCCCTGTCAGGAAGTTGCAGGTGCTGTATACAGCTGACTATACAAGACATACATTTAGAAAACCTGTGACCAAGGATTTACATCCATACGCATACACAGCTGTACTCAAGTACTAGCAAACATCTGCATACAGCCACTGACTTCTGTGGTAGGCTGTACACCTGTGGCTCCCTGACAGGGGAAAATAAGCTGGTATTTATGTTGAATGAGCTCAACCACCCGCATGCAAGGACACTTATGGAAACAGAAGCTAAAAACTGCTCAAAAACCCCCTTTTAGAGAGTATTCGCAGACGTCCCCTGCACACCATGCAGCAATAAAGACCAGAACTAATGATGGTGCTTGTAGTGATGTTCACGGATGGCGCCGTGCATATACAGAGTAAACAGCAATGAGGATCACCAGCACTTATGGGATTAAATAAATCCACATTTTCTTTTTATTGAAGCATGCCACTCGTGTTAAATAGCCAACGTTTCTGAGCCACGCAGGGTACCTTCATCAGGGATTGTTGTTTACCCCATTTCAAAGAGTGTCATTTTCCTGGCCCCTGCTGTGTTCTGTGGTTCCTTCTGCCGACCTCTACGTCCCTACAGAACAAAGTGGTGACAGGGGTTGTTGGATCGAACCGAAAAGCAGAGCAGGGGTGAAGAAATCTGACACTGCTAGAAGTGTTGGCCTCTGAAGAGTCTTCAGGCAGCTGTTTGTTTATGATGTGTGTGTTAACAAAGGTGAGAAATGATTTTCTTTCCAGGGAAACACTTTTCATATTAGTGACAGAGTTGCTTTAACAATTGTTTTCAATTTTTTACAGATAAGCCTATGAGGATGATTTACTAAAGGAATTTGAGAATCTTCACACAATAAAGTGTCTGAATATTTACTTCACTTATCCAATCATGTGCAGATGAAATAAGTAAACAGGAATCCGCTTTTCACGTAATTATATAATTGAAGTGAATAGTCACAAAATGTATTGAGTGAAGATTCTCAACTCCTTTAGTAAATCAGCCTCAAAGTCTCTAAAACGGCTGTGGAGGTCCAAAAAATAAAATAAAAACACAGGTACTGAAAATTCTTTGTTAATATTAAGTAACTGAAGATTAGGGATGAGCTCAGGTTTGGACCGGGTTTGCTCCTCTGAAAAAGGACGTGCAATGGGCATTTCCACCCAATCAGCTCCGGGGGAGGCATTCCATGCCTCACAGCTGCATGTTAACAAAGGTGCAAGATGCTTGTAGCCATATAAGGTTAATGATGTCACTACATCCAGGCCCTTTGCTTACATCAAGCTGTGATAGGGGAATTCCTGCCAGCATGTCCAGGAGGAGCTCCTTCCAGGTTCAGTAGGAGAGCTCAGGTTCATACCTGGTTCAGTCAAAACTGAGCTCATCCTGACTGAAAATATCCCTTGTTCACTCTAGCTTTAAAACCCCACCACCCCCTTTCACCTTGTAGCGCTATTCAAGTCATGAGGTGTTGGTACTCACCTGTCATCGGTCAAGCGCATTAAGGTTGACCCTCTTGTGGAAAAGACTATGAAGGACATTCTGAGTTGAGGGCTGTAAATGAATAAAAAATGTAATGGATCCATACAGTAAATGCTGTGTCTTATGTGTTAAAGGCTTTGCACATCAACCAGTGCTTCAGTAGATCACATATCACCAACACCTCAAAATGTTCTTCAATATGACTTGATTGTGAAGTCACCAGTAGAAAACAACGTTAAAAGTGTTTAAGGGCCTTGCAGAAACCCATTCATAAAGCAGTGTCACTGTTAGCCCAATGGGGTTCTTGTCTCCAAAACATTTAAAGCTGATTGTCCTAGGTTACTAAGAGCTGGACGGGGAGCCACCTGGGCGGCTCTGGCTGGAAAGGGGGCAGCAAGCACAGTGTGTGTAAAGGTGACACTAGGGGTCTTTTGGACCCCCAGCATCACCTTAAAGAGTACCTGTCACCACCATCTGCTATCACATTGTGGGCTTGTAAGCCCCCCTATGTGATAGCAATTAAAGTAAAGTTTAAAAAAACACGCGTAGGGTGCGCCTACGTATGAAAACGATGAACGCGCTACACCTGTTGGGTATCGGCCACGTAAACACGCGTCGGGTGCGCCTATGTATGAAAACGACGAACGCACTACACCGGTTGGGTATCGCCACACACGCCGGAGTGAGAGCAATAATTCTAGGGCCAGTATTTTTGGGTATCTCTAAACTGATGACCTGTGGGGGCTTTTAAAGTATTGTCTATGAACTTTTTGGGGTACTGACTTTTGTTGCCGTTTCACGGACACACAATTGTTAACCTGGGCATGATGGATATCTATTTACTCGTAACTCGTAACTTCATATTTTACATTGTATTAAAGAAATGGGTTTTGTATTGTGTTTTGGGGCATTTAAGTAAATTTGTCAAAAAAATGTGGGGTTTGATAAGGTGTTGCGCTAATATCGTGCAACATAAAAATTTGCAACTGTCAACATTTTATTCTATAGGGTCTCGGCTTTCAGAAAATATATAAAGTTTGGGGGTTTTAAGTAATTTTTAGGCCTAAAATGTGGAATATATCAACTGTGCAAAAAATAAAAAAAAGGCTCCAGTCATGAAGTGGTTAATAAAGGACTGCTGTGGCCATTTAAATCCATGCCACGAAGTCCATGGGTTCATTGGGGTTTTTACCAGAGGGAGGTAATTGACAAATCAGTCAAGTCTATTTAATGGTTGATAAGGGGTCACGGCCTATAGTTGTCCCACAATCTATGTTGTGCTTCTTCTTTATTATTTAGGCTTGTTGTTATGGTATGGTCGGTGTTAATGGGGTGTACAATTCCATGGGCTGCCCTATGTGCGCCAAATGTAGCTCATGCAGCAGTCTGAGCTGCAAGCTTTGCGCATTATTTGGACCGCATATTTTTGCATTTTGATGCTTGCGTCAGGATGTGCACCTTGCTTGCTGTGTTTGGGGTGCTATTAACAAATAATGGTAACACAGGTCCAACATGTGCTTTTTACATGGCAAGTCTGAATGGGGGCTAATAGTAAAAAAATAAGAGTGCAGAGCAGAGGGACAACAATTGTGTAGACAAAATAAGAGAGGGATACTGCTCAAGTAACACACATGTTTTAATACTTACGCACCTGATAAACCTTTCCGTCAGTTGTTCCACAAAGTGATAGATCTCAGTCCAATGGTGGAGCACACTTCCAGACCTATGGGGGAGAACATTGCTTATTGTTATTTCACCAACTAATATGCACTAAAATCACATTTCAGTTTATTAGCGAAGTATTAAATAATTTAAAAGAGAACTCCGGCAATCGCATACAATACAGATCTAATCAGGCACTGTAGAGGGATGCCCGCGGGGGCCTCCAGAGGAGCGAGCGGCCGCCGAGTACAGAGCCTCATCTGATGCGAGCAGGCTGCTTGCCGGGTGCAGGTGGCAGAGAGGCGGCGGAGGGAGGGGGCCACTGCAGCTGTGGCCACAGCAGACCCCCACAACCAGGGTCCAGGGAGCTCCACTGACCACCAGGGTAAGGATACATTTTTCAAATAAAATCCCGGGATTTTTAATGTCCCCGGAACATAAAATACATTTTTTTTTTTAATACTCACCTGATCTGATCCACCAACAAGCACAGCGTCCCGCCGCCCACGCTGTCAGAATATGCATACAGTGCGTGCCCGTTACTATTTAAACCGGCGCGCTATGTGCAGCTTCTTACAGGCTGCGCTATTAGCGTAGCGGACGGTAGCAAAATGTGCAGCTGACTTCCTTGCTATGCTAATAGCGTATCTTCTCAGAAGCTGCACACATCGTGCCGGTTTAAGTAGTAACCGACATGCTCTGTATGTATATTCTGACAGTGTGAGAGACGGCAGTCTGAGCTTTTAGTGGTTCCAGGGATCAGGTGAGTATTAACCAGTATTAGCCCGCAGAAGTGGTTAAAACAACACGGCTGCTTCCCCAGGCACCGCTATCCCGTGTGGCGCCCGAGAGTGGCTCGGTGGGTCTCCCCGCAATGATCGGAGAGAGATTCAGCGGCTTCCAGGCGCTTATCTTTCCTCCGATCACTGAACCTGGAAGTGATGTGTATTACATCATTTCCTGTGTCGCTGTGCACATTCTCCGGCTCTTAGAGCCAAGAGATGAAGCTGGGGAAGCAGATGTCTGCTTCCTCAGCTTCTTTGGGGTCCTTAGGTGACAGGGGTCTGAAAGACCCCTGATGTCTCCATAAAGAGGACCTGTCACACCCTATCTGCTATTACATAGGGTGCTTGTTAGCCCCCTATTTGATAGCAATAAGGTTAGTGTAAAAAAAAAAAAAATTAAAGTCACATATAAGAACGTCGGAGTGAGAGCAATAATTCTAGAGCCATCAATCACTGATAACACTAAACTGATGAGTGGTAAAATCTTTTTAAAATGTTCCCTATGGAAAATTTTGCTGCTTCACGGGCGAGCGCAGTTTTAAGGCTTGACATGTTTGGTAACTATTTACCTGGCGTGACCCCGACTTTTATATTTTACCCAAAAATTGGGTATTATATTATGTTTCTGTACACTAAATTTTAATTTAGTTGATTGTGCAAAAACCGTGCAACATAACAAATTGCAACTAGCATTTTATTATTCTACAGTGAGGAGCTCATCTCTCCCTCATTCTGCATTCTCCTACTATGAGCATGCTCCTTGTCAGTAAATGAACTGATTGGGTCCTTATACGGCGTCTTCCGGTTACATTCCAACCCTGCTGTACAGGGACTGGAGGGGGTTGATACCAGGTCCAATTCAGGAACATACACTGAGTGTATTTTTAAAATACATTTATTTGTGTATTAATGAATACAGAGCTGCGTTAATTTGTCTTTTATACATGCCTAGAGTTCAGCTTTAAAGTCCTGTATTCCTTTTGGCATGCAATAACTGTATATACCTTTATATAATTTAGTAGGGACTGTTGTTAAAGCGGACCTTTACACTCAAAAAACAAATTTTACCAATGCATCCCTCTATGTATGATGATTAATAATAACATAGACATGCCAGGTGTAAAATGCTGTGATTATGAAATATTTACACTTGTAGAACATTCACTTACTGCTCTGAAAAGGCAAAATGACTTCAGTTTGCCAAAGCAATGCACACTGGGATTGCCTTATCAGCAGAGCATTGCTGGGAAATCTCATCTGTAATCTCCGGAGATCTCAGGGAAAGGCATTTTCCTCCCTTGAGATGGTGTGCATGGTCACATGTCCTAGTCACATGTGCCAGAGTTCCAGGAAGTAAAGGGAGATGGATTAATCTGCCCTTAGTAAACATGGCCACTGTCCAAAGACCAGGGAAGAAAAGAGAAATGAGGAATGCAAAGAATACAAAGTAGGCAATTATCTAGAAGTGTTTGTAGATTGTCATTACTAAACATTTGTAAAGGTGTGTTTGTTGTTATTTTAAACATAGGGGTAAAGGTCCACTTTAACAGCCCTATACATAGGGTTGCCTCCTGTCCAGGATTCATCCGGACAGTCCAGGTTTTGAATGCTGTGTCCGGGTTTCATGGCAGCAGAAACCCGGACACAAAATGTCAGGCAGACAGTGACAACCAAAATTAAGATAGAGGCCACTGGCCTCTCACTGAAAATAGTCTCAACGGTGATATTTACATATTAATGGGTGGCTCTATTCACATATTAATAAGCCACAACTCATTCTCCCCCAAAAAATGTCCACACGTCGCTAGAGTGTTCGGGTTACGCTTGAAGAAAAGGTGGCAACCCTACCTACCTACCTATATACATATATATAGATATATCTATAGGTATATCTATATATATAGATATATCTATAGATATATATCTTTGCAGTGCACTGGTGTCAAAGGGGCAGGATAAGCAAAAAAAAATAGTTTGTGTACTTTATAGGAGAAAATCGTATCTGAAGCACCGAAACAAATCTTTCAAGAGGAACTAGGCCAATGCTGAAAAACCTTGATAATTCCAGGGACAAGAAATGCCAGATTTTTCCTGGGACAAGTCTGCCAATCCTTGGCCTCTCTCTATAAACTACAAACAACTGGCAATTGTGCTGATAGACGGGGTATCAATGTTCCCCAGTAGCTGATTTTCTGAAGACGAGTAGCTATTAAACTGCCGGAGCAGTAGAAGGGTTAAGGCGACTTCCTATTGGCATGCAGCTGTGCAATAGATCAGCGAGGAAGAAAGTAAAATAGGTATCAGGTTATGTTTGTCTTATTTTGACAATGGCAGCCAAGAAAAGCAAGTACCGAAGCAATGCAAGTAAAGGACGGGGTCATGACTAGCAAACGAGTAAAGGGAATTGGTGGGGGGCCGTGCAGGGGTGAGGCATAGCTCTTCTAGAAAGTGAACTGTATTTTGGAGGTTGATAGCAATTTAATGACATACACCCACATAGAAAACTACCTGAGGGAAACGTAAATGCTGCTCTTATTTCCAAATTTACTTTCTTTAACCACTTGAAGAGCGGAGTGTTACACCCCCTTCCTGTCCGGGCCATTTTTCAGTATTCAGCAATGCGGTATTTTGACTGACATTTATTCAGTCGTGCAACGCTGTACCGAAATGAATTTTATATAATTTTGTGGTACAGATAGAGATTTCTATTGGTGGTGTTTAATCACCTCTGGGTTTTTTGTTTTTTTATACTATATACAGAAAAAAGTACCAAAAATGTTGTTAAAAAAAACAGTTTTCGCTATGTTATGAATCATTTATTATTACCCAATTTCCTGGAAAAAATAAAAGGCGGGGTCACGTCGGGTAAATAGACGCCCGTAAAATTGCAAAACACTACCATACCCAAAATTGGCCATAGGCGACGCTTTAAAAGCTTTTTTTACAGCTCATCAATTTAGTGTTAATAGTGATTAATGGTGCTAGAATTATTGCTCATGTTTCAACATCCACGGTGCGGCGCAATGGACGCAATCTTAGTTTTTGCACAATGCATTTTTGCGTTTGCATGTGTGTGTACATAGGGGCGGAGGACTTTAAAACAAAATTTTTTGTTTTTTTTTAATTTTATGTGCAAGTTTAATTATTTGTAACATTAATTTTTGTAAACTTTTTTTTTTTTTGCACCTAACTTTATTGTTATGCCACAGGGGACTAAGAAGCCCCCTATGTGATATCAAATTTACAGTGACAGGTCCTCTTTATGGAGTCTTCTAGACCCCCAATGTCACCTAAGGTCACCTGCCCCCAAAGAAGCTGATGAAGCAAGGATCTGCTTCACCAGCTTTTCTCCGGCTACAGAAGACGCAGGAATAACAGCTGAATGAGGATGTGATATAATACACTTAATTCCTGTATTCAGAGAACGGAAGGGAGATCAGCGGGAGGATGTATGTTGATCTCCCTGTGATCTCTGTTCACAGACCCACCGTGCCGGTCCCGGTGGGGACAGTGTAGCCTGGGATAGGTGGTAGCAGAGGGGGGGACTGCAAGCAGCAGCACAACATAAAAACCACCGGAACGCTTGTATGTAAACAAACATCACTGGCTGTTTAAATTACAGTTGGTTTCCTGAGCGGCGCGCACGAGCAGAAGCGAGGAAAAGACGCTTTAAAATGCCCACCTGCATCCAGGAAGCCACCGTCCGGCCATTTAGTTACAACGGCCAGATGGAAGGTGGTTAAAGGAACCCTGACATGAGAAACAACGGTGGCTGCCATTGCTGATCTTTTCTTCTGAACATGTGAGGTACTGGGCTGTCAAGTTGAACCTTCTGCTTTAATTCTTTGAGCCTATACAGCAAAGAACAAAATTGGATGTGGTAATACAAGGAGCCTGTGAGACAGCCTGAGGGGACATACAGTATACTTAGCAAGCACAGCTACAGCTTCTACTGAGATGCCATGTATCCACTCAGTCTCAGCAGGGAGCTCTGCCGCCCCGAGGCCGGGCCTCGGTGGCCTTGTGGGAAATCCGGGCCTGACGGTCTCCACGGACTTTGTGCTTATTTGTTTTTATACAGTGCGAATTTGACTTCGTGTGGGCCTACACCACCTCCTTTCTGATTAACCTTAACAGCAAAACATGTTGAGTAATAACTAGGGATGCACAGATACTTTTCGAGTACCAGTGCAGATACTTGGCATTTTCATGAGAACTCCCAGGGTTGCAGCGGTTGCAGCTGGGGCCTGGCTCTGGCGCTCCACCATTGTCCTGA